AGTAGCATGCTAAGTGAAATAAGTCAGTCAGAGAAAGACAAGTATCACATGATCCCACTCATATGTGGAATCTAATTAACAAACTGATGAACAGAGTGGATCCAGAGACATGGAAGCATGGAACAGAATGCTGAATCTCAGAGGGAAGGCGGGGGAGGATGGGTGGGTGGGAGGTAATCAAACAAAGTCTTTGTATGCATAATGCATAACCCATGGACACAGACAGTGGGGTGGTGAGGCGGGAGGGGGAGGCCTGAAGGGAGTCGATAGGGAAAATAAGGGAACATATGTAGTACTTTCAACAATAAAAATTTTTTAAAAATAAAAAAGGTCACTCTGGCAGAAATGTGGCAGATGAATTATACTGGAGCAGTGTACAAAATTACAAAGCAGTAGGATGTACTGGTTAAGAACCTGGGCTTGGGAGCTAGACTGTCTGGGTTGAATACAGGTTAACACTAGTTGTGTGACCTTGAATAAGCAACTTAACTGTTTTGTGCCTCAATTTCATCATCTGCAAATAGGAATAGGAATAATTCTTGCCACAGAGGGTTGTAGTGAGAATTAAGAGAATAATTAATTAGAATAATAAGAATAATTCCTGGCACAAAGTACTCCATAAACAATTGCTATTAATTGCATTAAAAAAATCTGGTCATAGGGAGATTAGTTAGAAGGTCAGAAAATAGTCCAGGAAAACAGAGGTGCCATAGCCGGTTTGGCTCAGTGGATAGAGTGTCAGTCTGCGGACTGAGGGGTCCTGGGTTCGATTCCAGTCAAGGGCATGTACCTTGGTTGCGGGCACATCCCTAGTGGGAGGTGTGCAGGAGGCAGCTGATCGATGTTTCTCTCTCATCGTTGTTTCTAGCTCTCTATCTCTCTCCCTTCCTCTCTGTAAAAAATTAATAAAATATATATATAAAAAAAACAGAGGTGAGAACAAAGAGGGGTGTGTTCACTTGAGGTACCTGAAATGGTGATAATACCACTAGCAAACCAGGGAAAAGGAAAGGAAAACTAGGCCAATGAGTATAGCTCTTGCCATGTTAGGGTTGAGGTTCCCACACATCATGAAAGTGTAAGTGTCCACTGATGATTGGAAAAAAAAAAACAGATCAGAAAAAAAAAAAAGAGGAAGGAACTAGAGATATAGATCTGAGAGTCATTAACATGTGGAAGAGTTTGTGGAAACTGTGGTAATGGAAGAGAGTACTCAGGCAGAAAGCAATGCGAAGGAGTCCTAGGACCCACAGGAACTAGGTCCCTAGGATCACAACTGGACCCACGGGAACACCAACAAGACCAAGAACCCGATAAGATAGAGAGAAGAAATATAACCATATGAAATAATCCTGTCCTTTATGACGTTTTCAATGTCGTTAGGAAGAAAAAGACATACACATGCCAAACCATTTTTATCGTGACTGTTTAGGATTAGTAGCACAGGTGGTAGGCATTAGAAGGGCAAGAAAGGAAAACTGTGCTAAATATTGGAAAAGCCAGTGATGACATAAGAAAGAACACTGGCTAAAGATGGGGAAGTAAAGAGGAAAGTGAAAACTTTTATTTATTAAATGTCTACTATATGCAAGTAACTATAGTAGGATGTTTCCAGCATTTTACCTAATTTTATTCTCATAATATTCCTCTGAGACAAATCCTATCCCTATTTTACAGGAGCAGTTTGCAACAGACCAAATGCACTTGCCCAAAGTCTTGCATCCAGTTATGGGCATATGGCAGTTTTACAACTGGAATCTCAGTGGAGGGCCCATGACTTCCACACCATACTTCCACTTATTAAACTGCCTAATGTAGGGCAAGTCAAAAGGGGAAGCGAAAAAAATAAGAACTATACCAGAAGAAAACCAGAATTATGCCTACATATCTCACTTCGATAGAACTACCTTTTTGAGGACATGTGAAAGAAAGAAAAAAATTAGTTTTTAAACATCAAAAATCATCTTTCAATCACAGAGAACAGGTAGGGTTACAGATACCTCCTTGCTATCAGTCTCTTCCCTCAGGTCTTGTCCGTACTGTTACCATAGTTAGAATTCTAAATTGCACACCTGACCATGTCCTTCCTCCTCTCTTTATCATCTTTCAATAACTCCCTAAAAGAGAAAAAAATATTAACAGAACCAACAGGAAAAGGCTATCTAATACATCTAGAAACCCCTTAACCTAGAAGGAATAATAGAAAAAAGTTAACTCCTAAAAATAAATGCCCTATTTTTAATCTTTAACCCTATTTTTCTCACCTCAGCATTGTAAAATAAACTTCAAATGCCAGTTAAAGAGCAACATCGACACCTTGTGGTAAAGATCAAATGGCTCTTAATTAAATGTCTGCTTACATCAGTGGTTCTCAACCTGTGGGTCACGACCCCTTTGGCAGTCGAACAACCCTTTCACAGGGGTCACCTAAGACCATCCTGCATATCAGATATTTACATTATGATTCATAACAGTTGTAACATTACAGTTATGAAGTAGCAACGAAAATAATTTTATGGTTGGGTCACAACATGAGGAACTG